CCTCAGATTGCGAGTCGAGCGCCTAACCACCTGGCCATGCCGGGCCTACAAAAGAATAACGCTAGTCTATGTGGGAGATTTGCTTTAAAAATTCAAGGAAGAAACTTAAACTAAATAAGTTTAGGCTTAGCAACAAGTAGTACAAGATCTGTAGGCTTAGCACCTAGTAGTACGAGATCTGTAGGTTTAGCAACTAGTAGTACGAGATCTGTAGGCTTAGCATCTAGTAGTACGAGATCTGTAGGCTTAGCAACTAGTAGTACGAGATCTGTAGGCTTAGCAACTAGTAGTACGAGATCTGTAGGCTTAGCAACTGGTAGTACGAGATCTGTAGGCTTAGCATCTAATAGTACGAGATCTGTAGGCGTAGCATCTAGTAATACGATATCTGTAGGCTTAGCACCTAGTAGTACGAGATCTGTAGGTTTAGCATCTAGTAGTACGAGATCTGTAGGCGTAGCATCTAGTAGTACGAAATTTGTAGGCTTAGCAACTAGTAGTACGAGATCTGTAGGCTTAGCACCTAGTAGTATGAGATCTGTAGGCTTAGCCGCTACTAGTGCGATATCTGTAGGCTTAGCCGCTAGTAGTGTGATATCTATAGGCTTAGCTTCTTACAGTAGTATAAGAACTGAAGGTTTAGTAACCAGCACTAGATCCCATCGTATTCCGTACAAACTGGAATTCTGAATAATTTTAGATAAGTAAGCTGTTTTAATATCTTAAAGAAGTAAAACTTACTATTTTTTAACTCATTTAGAGTCATGTATCCAATAAATCTTGAAGGATGCAACTAGATTTTCATATAAAACTTGCCCCCCCTTAAAGAGAAAATTATAAACAATTATGCAAATAATAAATATCGCCAAATGAATAGGACATTTTTACTTACATTCTTTTTGTTACAAATATCTCTTTGAGAAATAAATTTTTTCAAACAACTTCTTGTTAGCTAGAAGTTTCTTGTAAAGTTCTGAGAAACCTTCATTCATGTTCATCCTTGACTACTTTAAATAAATGCCTCGTGATTTGAAAATCGAACATCAGCTGTGAACATTAAATAAATGTTTCATGAATTGAAAATCGAACATCAGCTGTGAACAGCATCTACCATTTGCATTCAACTGTCTTACTCAGTTTTGGCAGATGCAAAAGCACGTGCATATGCAATCGTGGCGTCATGTCGCCTGTCTTGTAGCCAACTTCGGAAGCAACAGCGAAAGCTATGTTGAGTCATTCCGAGCTGTGTGGAAATTTCAAACTCAACTTTAAAAAATCATACCCGTTTATTCATGGTGGCTAGAGTCTCAAAATACTGAGTTCAAGTATAAACAAAAGTTACAAATTACTGATAAAAATGAAAACCCGAACATAAAGGATCTATAGGGACAACATTTCAAAAAACTGGGACATCAAATTATAAAATTTAATTTCTCAATAACAGATACCAAATAAAGACTGAAATAATATTTTTAAAAAGTTCTGTTTCCTTAAGAGGAAAACTTACAGGGTTATCAGCTTGTAGATTGTCAACATAGTTGGTTAAATATAAAAGTATACGAATCATTACTGAATACTTCGATAATCTCTTCTGTGGATTTCTTTCTCAAATTCTTCTGCGACTCAGAAAATGCTAGATTTTGTTGATTTTATAGTCGTGCATATATGAATGTTATCAGTACGTTATTATACATATTTAAAAATAGCATATAATTTCTTGATAGCTAAGGTTTCCTTGATTCGTGTATCTTTCCCTTGTTGGAATTAAATATAATTTTAGAGTTCTTTTCATCTGTGTGCCTAGCATGGCCTTGTGGTAAAGGCACTTGACTCGCAGTCTGCGGGTCACGAGATCGAATCCCGTCATCGAACATGCTCGTTCTTTCAGCTGTGGGGTGTTATAATGGTACGGTCAATTCCACTTTCGGTTGGTAAAAGAATAGCCAGGAGTTGGCGGTGGGTGGAGTTGACTATCCTCTTCATAGTCTATCACTTCAGAATTGGAGACGGCTAGCGTAGTTAGCCCTCGAGTAGCTTTGCACGAAATTTCAATAAAACAAACAAACTCATCACCTTCTTGCTCTAGATGTCTGTGGACTGCGTATGAAAAGAACTTTGAAATTATATGCATTTCCCACAACGAACAAGATTTGTAAGGATCAAAGGTGGTTAGGAGGTCGTGGGCTCGAATCCCATCACCGAACATGCAATCTTTTTCCGCCTTGGGGGCGTTACAATGTAATGGTCAATCCCACAATTCGATTAGAGTAGCCCGAGAGTTAGCAGTGGGTGGTGTTGACTAGCTGTCTTACCTCTAGTCCATCACCTGTAAATTATAGATGGCTAACACAGGTAGCCCTCGAGTAGCTTTATTCGAAATTCAACAAAGAAACAAGAATAAAGGAAACTGAAACCAAGACAAGTGCAATCTGTTTCATCATAATAACTGATAACGGTTTATTTGGGGAAAAAATATTTAAGTTTTAAAGTGAATGGAACACAAAGACTTATAGGTGTCTTTACAGTAAAAAAAGGTTTAGTTCCAGTTTAGTTTAGTTTTAGATTATAAAAAACGTTTACAAGTTTGGTTTGTTTTTAAATTTTGACCGCACATTATAAAGTCCCCACATCTGAAAGAGCGATCATGTTAAGTCTGACGGGGATTCGAACTCGCAGATTGCGACTCAATTGCCCCTAACTACCAGGCCATGCCGGGCCCAAAAATGTTTAGAAGACCACCAGTTGAATAGAAGTTAAAGAAGATTTGTGTGCTTCTTATGGCTTTTTATCCTATGTGTACCAGAGGCAACATACAGTCCCCACAATCACACCTAATCCCCCCCCCCCCACCCACACAAAGGTCTTGCTATGTGATGTTTGAAAAGTGTTGTTGTTGTTTTTTTGTCAATGAGTCCTTGGCCTTTTAACGTCTTATGTACGTCCTCGCAGTAAGCAAGGTCTGGAATCGACCGTATCTTTTAATAGTTATGAACGATTTTGTCGCTAAGAAGAAGAAGGGCATTTTGGGGACAAAAGAGCAAAAAGATAGAAGACCACACAGCCACCCCCCTGATAATTTGTTCCTATTTTTCTTCTTCCAGAATGTTTATCGAGAATGGGTGTGTGCTATGTTGCTTCCGTTTTTCCTTGATGATAGCCATTTAAAACCCTGCCGGACGTTCTGTCATCGGGTAGAACAACAGTGTCCCTATTTTCATCCTTATATTACAGAACAGTACGCTGGCGAACCAGTCTTCAAATGTATAGGTAAGGTTATCGTTTTTACTTGAAATAAGATTTACTAGCGACATCTACATGATTATTTTATTTTAAGTTATAATCTTTTTTCCTTTTTTAATTTTTACTTTAAATAACAAGATTTACTAGCGACATCTACATGATTATTTTATTTTAAGTTATAATCTTTTTCCTTTTTTAATTTTTACTTTGAATAACAAGATTTACTAGCGACATCTGCATGATTATTTTATTTTAAGTTATAATATTTTTTTCCTTTTTTTCATTTTTACTTTAAATAACAAGATTTACTAGCGACATCTGCATGATTATTTTATTTTATATCATAATCTTCTTTTCTTTCTTTTTTCACCCTAAGTATAAAAAAGGATGTGACATAGCTCTTTAGTTTAGATCATAAATTGTATTCCAGTACTTGCAGTGTTTTTAAGTTTTTATTTTAAATAACAAGATTTACTAGTGACATCTACATGATTATTTTATTTTAAGTTATTATTTTCTTCCCTTCTTTTAAAATTTTTACCTGAAGTAACAAGATTTACTAGTGACATCTACACGATTATTTTATTTTTAGTAATAATCTTCTTTTTTTTCGCCCCCCAGTGGCACAGCGGAATGTCTGCGAACTTACAAAGCTAGAAACCGGGTTTCTATACTCGTAGTGGGCAGAGCACAGATAGCTCATTGTGTAGCTGTGTGCTTATACTACAAACAAACAAGTAAACTTTAGTATTAGATTACATGTAAAAACTCTTTGACTCTGAATAAGTGAAGGTGTGTCAAACTTTATCGTACAGAATATGCTCAGTTTTCGGAGCTGTGTAAACATGAGGTATACTATAATAGTTAGCCTTTTCGTTTTACATGTTTTTGTTTTGTTTTGCTTTTTTAATCCTGTACAGGCAAAGACTGACCAGTTAGTCTTTCGTTATAACCTACACTTAGTGTACAAGGGCCCAGAATCAGTCAGAGTTCTACTGGTTTTCTAATTGTTCTTTGGTTTTAGAGTATAAGAATTATTTACATACCTATAACTAATTTTAGTTTTCTGCTTCTGTCAGAACTAATTTTCAATAAACTTAACCCACTTCTGTGCTTTAGATGGCAATAAAGGTATTTTTTACATTCACATGATAATACATAACAATGGTAATAAAGGTGTTTTTTACATTCACTTGATAATACATAACAAACATAACCTGTAATATTTTACCCCCCATTATACATTAAACTTAAATTTGTAGTTTTCCAGCCAACATAGTGAACCTTGATATTGGGCGAAAGGCCTTGTCGGCACCGAATATAGCAGATATATTGTGGTTGATATATTGTTATATTTTCTTCTTTACTTTCACTTGTACGTTTTTGGAAATGTGTGTTGCCGGCGTATTATTCTCTCTTACAGGGCCACGTATAACTTATTGGTTAACATATTGGACTGTTGAATCAGAAGGTCCAAATTTCGAGCATGCGATATTCTGGTGAACGCGCTGCGCGCTTACAGCTTTTGGTGCCTTAACAAAAATGACAGTTATCCCCTCATCACCATTAAGTCAAGTTACTGCTGATTGGTTACCATCACGCTGGTTCAGACAGCTCACTCTATAATGATTATGTCAAATTGAAAATAAAATTTCAAGCGTAGGGGCCGAATACATTCTTAGATTCGCAGCACCCTCTGGTGTGAACTGCAGTTTAGCCTATTCAAAGCCCATCAACACACCTTGGGCCAGCCAACTGAAGAAATACAGTTAGGCCTCTTATAATGGTAAATCTCTATAGCTTACACCGTCTTAACTGAGGTGGAATTTTTCTGAGCTATAAAATAGTTTTGTAACTCCATAAAAGGCTGCCCCCCCAGTGGCACAGCGGTATGTCTGCGGACTTACAACGCTAGAATCCGGGTTTCGATATCCGTGGTAGGTAGAGCACAGATAGCCCATTGTGTAGCTTTGTGCTTAATTAAAAAAACAAAAACAAACATAAAAGGCAGAGAACGATGAATTAGTTTAAAAGCCTCAGATAATTGTTGTTGTTTGTTATTAAGCACAAAGCTACACAAAGGGCTATCTGTGCTCTGCCCACCATGGGCGGTGAAACCCGCTGTGCCACTGGGAGGCGCCTCAGATAAGCTAAAAAGTATTAAAATAAGATGTTTACAAGTGTTCATTAAATTAAAAGAATGTCGTACTACCTAAGTTAGTTTCCTAAACTCGTGATAAATTTCCGTGTTTTTTACGTGTTTGATCACCTAAATAGTTTAATTGTTCGTTTGTTTGTTATTAAGCACAAAGCTACACGAAGGGCTATCTGTGCTCTGCCCACCACGAGTATCGAAACCCGGTTTCTAGTAGGATAAATCTGCCACTGGGGGCCTAAATAGGTTAATTATGATTTGTTCTTAAAATCGGCTTGTTTAATCCTGCATGCTCTTTATCATAATAATATCATCTTTTGTTTGAATAGCAGTTTTAAAGAATCGGTTATTAACATACCTTTTTTAATGGCCTTCTGTTAACTTCTTGACTTATAAATTTCTGGTAAATCACGGAGTAGCTTAGTTATAAATTTACCGATTTTAGTACATAAATTTACCGATGGTGTTTGTCGAATTTTTAAACACATTTTTTGAAACTGTTTATGTAATATCTTACTTTTATGCCCATGACTTCGTTGATTAAATGGTTTCTCATAACATGTGAGTCATACAAGTTGTCCCGGCACGGGCAGGTGGTTAGGGCGCTCGACTCGCAATCTGCGGGTCGCGGGTTCGAATCCGCCATCCCACCAAACATGCTCGGCCTTTCAGCCTTGGGGGCGTTATAATGTGACGGTCAATCCCGCTATTCGTTGGTAAAAGAGTAGCCTAAGAGTTGGCGGTGGGTGGTGATGACTAGCTGCCTTCCTTCTAGTCTTACATTGCTAAATTAGGGACGGCTAGCGCAGATAGCCCTCGTGTAGCTTTGCACGAAATTCATAACTAACAAACAATCATCCAAGTTCGCCCCTGAAGAAGAAAAGTCTACCTTTCGAAAGCGCTCGGGTTTGAGGGTTTCATATCTTTGAGTGACATGATAGGCATTATGATGCTTAGACTTCTTTCATAGTAATATAATTTAATAAGAATGACACTACTTAACGTCATAACCTCACGTTTGTGGTGCTTGTTCACTCACAACGTTTTCAGGAATTTTGCAATTTTCTTGTAAGATTAGCTTTCGTTTCTTAAGAGTCCGCGAGATGTCGTGATAGTTTCACGTGTAGCTTCTGGATCTCATCAAACAAAACCAGCCATGAAGTTCGTGGCTTACTTTCCCAGCAGTCTAAAAAACTCTCGCCGTCAGAGTGTTCTAGTGAAAAAAAAAATAGGTGTCTATCAATTAAAACAAAATTCTCAATTAGTGTGAACATCTATTCTATTCTAACCACACAAACAAAAACATGATAACAAACTGAAATAAAGTGTCATTTAAATTCTTTAATTTTCCATATCTGTGCGCATCCATCAATGTGGAAATAATCGTCTGCAGTTTCCTTATCAATGTGGACATCGCCTTTTACATTGTTAGGATTTTTTCCTCTTTATATTAGAAAATTTGCTTTCGACTTCTTGCCAGTTATCATCCAAGCATTTAAACCTATATTAAAATGGATTATTTTTTTATAGTTGCCAGTTTTATCCAAGCATTTAAATTTGTATTAAAATGGATCTTTTTTTTTGTGTATTTCCTAGTTTTATCTAAACGTTTAAACCTTTATTAAGATGGATTTTTTGTATGTACCAGTTTTATCCAAATATTTAAACCTGTATTAAAATGGATTCTTTTTTTATTTGCTACTTTTATACAAACATTTAAACCTGTATTAAAATGGATTCTTTTTTTGTAAATATATTGCCATACAGAGTTTTTATAGTCAAGTTTCACTGGTTACATCTTCCACGCCAGGAACATAATATTGAAAAGGTTTGTCTTCACACTATTCGTTACGACCCATATCAACTCACCATTCTTTCTCATAGAGCCTGTCATTGTATCTTTATTGATTCTTTAGGAGGCAGTTACTCCTTTTTTAGGGCTAATTTTTTAAATAAATTATTATTCTTACCTTGAGCGCCCCATATATTTTTTATTTAAGATGGATCAATCTCCTTCTGAGGGTCTACCCTATTTATTTAAGGCACGATCATTCTTTCTATGGGGCAATCAATTTTTTTTTCAAGAGCACACCATTCTTCTTTAGTGTCCATATGTTTTAAAAGGTGATTATCATTATTTATGATTTTTTTAAACCTTAAAATTAACAACCATATCGGGGTTTTCGAGATATATGTAAAACTATTTATGCACCAAATTGCTTGTGGGGCAATCACCTTGGTAGTTCCAGAGTCGCTAATCACATACGAATCACACCAAAAAATTAATACACAAATATCGGCAGTATTGCAATTAACCCCACTAATTGCTACCGGAACCTCTTATATATTTACATGGAAAATGAGTGTTCTCGCCCCATTTGTTTGGCCAGTTCTTTGAATTGAGTTTTGTAACAGGCAAAGAAGTAAAATTGTTAAATTGTAGACAAGAGGAAAGGCTGTATTTAGAAAAGGTGAAAAAGGGTAGACAAGAGGGAACGGCTGTATTTAGAAAAGGTGAAAAAGGGTAGACAAGAGGGAACGGCTGTATTTAGAAAAGATGAAAAATGGTAGACAAGAGGGAAAGAATGTATTTAGAAAAGGTGAAAAAGGGTAGACAAGAGGGAAAGGCTGTATTTAGAAAAGGTGAAAAAGGGTAGACAAGAGGGAAAGGCTGTATTTAGAAAAGATGAAAAATGGTAGACAAGAGGAAAGGCTGTATTTAGAAAAGGTGAAAAAGGGTAGACAAGAGGGAAAGGCTGTATTTAGAAAAGGTGAAAAAGGATAGGCAAGAGAGAAAGGCTGTGTTTAGAAAAGGTGAAAAAGGGTAGACAAGAGGGAAAGGCTGTATTTAGAAAAGGTGAAAAAGAATAGATATCAGATGGTTTTAACAAAGTATATAATGTACTTATTTGAAAAGTGATGATATTATTAAAGCTGGATGATGTAAATAAGGCGATTGAGGTTTAGAATATTTGGTTAAAAGTTGGAAAGCTTTTAAGTATCAATAAAAATATAGTGTTGTATTTGGTAACATCAAACTCTCACAGAATCGATATGTTTTAGCGCGAAACTAAACAATGGACTATCTGCGCTCTGTCCACCTCGTGGAATCGAACCCCTAGATTTTTACATTGTAAATCCTTAAACGTAGCGCTGACGTACCGAGGTATCCAGGAATAGGAGATAATCTGGAAATAATAAGGTGAAATTAAGAGTCCTTCAGAACACAAAGCTAAAATCTGAATTTTAGGAGTTTCCAACGAAACCTCGATGGTTTGGTAAATTAGGTAAAATGATAACGTTTTATGGATAAACCGAAAATATTTAATAAAATAAAATAGCACGAAGAAATGTTATATAAAAGTGTTTAAAACCTGGGGAGAATAATTAAACTCGAACTGTTTGTGATTCTTTTAAATTTGGAAGGATTTTGAAGGCTAGGTAAATGTTGGAAAAACCTCGGTGGGCTAAGTCTGAGGTAAAAAACAACAACAACAAAAAACATCTTGTGACATTTAAGTTCCCGCCATTTTTTATTTCCCAGCATACTGTTGTAATCTTCTCCGAATCGCGTTTCACTTTTTCAAAACCAACATGCAACACCTTTAAAGAAATTATGTAACATATTATAAAGTCTCTAAAAAAAATCTAACCCATCTTCCTAACCTTGACGTGCGTGAATAAATGGAACTATAAAATGTTATTTGTAAGAAATATTTAAATTTTTTTACTGGCTTAAAAATTCAGTTTGTTAACTGTTGTTTGTTTGAAGATAAGCACAAAGCTACACTATGGGCTATCTGTGCTCTGTTCACCACGGATATCGAAACCCGGCTTCTAGCGTTGTAAGTCCGAAGACATGCCGCTGTGCCACTAGGGGGCGTTAAGTATTGTGTATTCCAGAATAAGATTTGGAACGCGTAGGGGGGAGAACTAACTGATCGAACAAAAGTATATTTTATTTAAAATCAAATCTGTAGCAGTTGTTCTTTGCTCATATGGTTTCTAATCTATAGTCGTCATTTTAGCTTATCAATGTGTTTATTTTAAGCATCTGTTTTAAATCATTCATGATGCCAAGTGTTTTTTGTTTTTTTCTCGTTTATTCTAGATCCTAACATTCCAGACATTCCTTCTATTTCGCCTAATTCTCCTTACGGCCTACCTGGATCCTGTTACCAGCTCTGCCATGTCAACCCAGACATCGAGCCTAAAACATGGAATACTTCTTTTTTCTGGAAGGATTCTACGGTGACCCGCACAAATTCGAATGCGTTATCACTTAAAAACACTTCACATTTGTCTCCCGCCACTTTTTCACGAGCAGTGACAAAGACTGCAAACCCTTGCCTTATGGCAGGACTATTTATAATCATTGGTGGATTGTGGCGCCACTTAGTGATCGGACATTGTACGCAGCGAAGTAGCAGATGGACCTGGCCAAACCCTTTTGGAATTGTTTGCATAGAACCCACTTAGCATTGGTTTAGCTACTGTCGTTTTTTTTTCTGTAATCAAAATAGAACGAAGAGACTTAAGTCCACATTTCTATAGTTAGATTATGTAAGTACACATCGTCTGTCTTTATGGGAAAGCCGATACAGTTGTTGTCTAGAAGAAAAGGCTTAAGGGTAACTAAATGGTTGAGTGAGTTATCACGTGACATGTTAAATGACTGTTTGCAGAGAGTATGCTCGAATGTATCTTCAATATAAGATTACAGTGTTAGAGAAATGATTTTTGTTCCACCGCAATTTCTTTAATGAAGCTGTTTCTGTTTTGTTTTTTAAGTATCTAAAAACGTTTTTTGGTATACTCTTTTAATATCTACTGTTTTTCTTATAATATATATATATATATACGTATATGTGTGTGTGTGTGTTATTTCGTAGTGTTTTATTAGACTTTAATTTAACAAATAAATAAACGACCTCTACGTTCAGAATAGATTATTTAATTACTCGATATTTTATCTTGAGTATTCGTCAAATGTTGCCTGCATTACAAACACTGAAATAATGTCGATATTTTATCTTGGGTATTCGTCAAATGTTGCCTGCATTACAAACACTGAAATAATGAATTTAAAAAGCTGCAAATCAAAATTGGCGAAGACCATATTTATTCCAAAGACTGACTTTAATGAATTTTTAGGAATAGCATCGAGTTTGAAGCTATTGAACTTTGCATAAAATGAGTCTAATCTTTTAAATTAATCAACTTATAAAATTCATTGCCACAGTGTTTTTTTATAGTACAATCAAAAACTTGACTGATTGTTTTAAGGTATTTTTAGGGTAATTAACCATGCAACGAACATTTAATTCCCGGGCTTCATAAGCTTGCATAGTTTTTAATATTAGAACTCTTCAGCGTTCTTTGTAATTTTCTGTTCTTGTGAAAGAAGAAGAAAAAAAAATCACCGTTGAGGTGTAGTCTCAAAAAAAAATTGTCTTAGGGACAATTTTTCGGAAACAAATACTACTAAAGAGCATTGTCAATGAAACAGCATAAAAGTTTCTCTGATTTTATAAAAGTACGCTCACTACCTGAGGTGGTTTTATCTACCACTCTGTGAGGAAAACTGAAGAATACAACATCATGACCGTTTACAAGAAAACTTTGGCCAAATAGATTCGTTTTGAATGCTTTGAATAAAACTGTAACTTATTCTGTTGAAACAGGTACACTTTGCTGCGATTATACTTTATCTGTTAGTAATTAAGACGTGGCTGTGATGTTACTGTTTAATTACATATACTGACCTGATGGTTATGAACCATTATGTAAATTGATTTATGCATATTCGTTTAAACAAGAGCCGACGTCATAGTGTATCATATTACTGGCTTTGCACCGAGCATATCCTAATTAACAGAACATGACGTTGGCATGAATCGCAATCTTATAATGCGTGGCAAGTGAAAACGTTAGGTGGCCACCTAGTGGAATATTCCTATCATAGTTTGATTTGGTCAACCACTAGTCTTATATGAATGTTCCAAAATCATGCCGTCGTGCTAACGCGAAGTAATATGCATTAAGAGGTGAAGTCATTCTAAGTACGTTATTACACGGGTATCCATCATTGTCTTTCGAATCAACCTTCCATTAATATATATATATGTACGAGTATTTCTAATGCAGTCCAGAGGTAAGTAAGACAAAATTAGATTATCAATCTAACATCGTATGCGCAAGTCCAAAACTTTGATCACTGTTTTTGTTGTATGCGAAATGTGATAAGCCAACGGAAAGAGGAAATGATAGGGTATCACTACATATTTTTACCCAGTTTATTTATGGGTAAAAGTTTAACATTTTCCTCAGTTATTTCAAGATTCAGACCTTCTGCTACATTTACCATTTTACAAAAGCGAAACAACGAAGGATTTCCCAAGTCATTTTTTTCAATATTTTACTACACTGTCTCGCAACTGGAAACGAAATCAACGTTTTCTCTTTTTGCAATATTAACATTATATAGAGGGAGATACCAAAGTTGTTTTCTTATTATTTGTAAAGTAACGTTTAGAGGAGGATTATACTCGAGGTTTTCTGTTATGTGATGTCATCTAGTGAACATTTTTGATGTCATAAGTGAATCCTAGAATCAGAATAAGCGATAACATTATGTGGCTACTAGCGTGACTGGGATAAAGAAAGACATTATTTGATGTTCTTATAATTTTAGAAATATTCACCCGAGTTAGACATTAATTCAATACTAAAAATAAGCCACTTATACTAATCTCTCAAGATGAGAGTGAAGATTTACAGGGTCGAGTGATTGATCTAAATGTATTGGTTTTTCTCTGTGATTAATTTCGTAAGTTTAAAAGAGTGGAAAGGGATTACAGAGATGAGTAATGGTAATAGATGTAAATGTGCTAATTGTCTCTGTGATTAATCTTTCACGATTACAAGAATGGAAGGAATTACAGGGTTAGAATTAAATGTGTAAGTTCTCTCCGTGACCGCTGTAGTCTTCCGATTTTAGCACCAGTACTATATATTTGTGAATTCATAAACTATTTCAAACTAAACTATAGAAGCTCCACGTTTTACATTTTGTGGCAGTTTCGGAATCACGACTAATGAGATAATGTCGAAAAAATTAATTAAAGAATTTATTGATGCTATTTTAAATATATTTTTGGTTTACAATAATGATGAAAATGTCGGCTCATTTGTATATCGAAGTAATGGTTACTTTTATTATAGTTACTGCATATGCTTCTTTTCGAAAGCATGAGAATTTTCAGTTTTCTTTTTTTTTCTTTCTGCGCCATACTTGTTTTCCATTTGTTATATAAAAATCAAACAGTGTTGATTTTTTTATTGTCTATAGTTTTTACACGAACTTATATTTCTTATATGTACTGTACTTCAGTAAATTATAGAGGATTTAAAAGTGTACACGATAATTCATTCCTAGAGCAGTTTTCAAAATTGATGGATTAAACAAAAATTAGAGCCGTTGCTTTAATTTTGCGTTTAGTATATTTTGATTTTAATGTGAAAATAAAAACAATTATTCTTCGTTGAAACATTGTTGTAATCGTGGAACTTTATCATGTACAACAATAAATACTACAACAATAAATTATTTGTGTTAGCTTATTCCAATTAACAGTAGTAGCAATAGAAACTACGGTCGTTCATGAGAAGGGCTAGTTTTCTATTTTAAAGGCGAAATGTATGTCATAGAAAAAAATTACCCATCGTACCTCAATTCAAATGCAGAACTACCAACGTTCGTAAATCATACTTCGTAACTTAATAATGTATAAAAACGTATAGTAATGATTTAACGTCTTACCTTTAATTATAAACTATTGAAGGTTTAGATCTTTTAAGTTAGGCCTAAGTGATTTATCAGGTTCTGTACTATATGACGAACGACAGTGCTACACTATTGCTAATTAATAGTTCATATCATGCTACTACTATTTGTTTAAAGTATTGTGTTATGTAATAATAAGTTTCATTAACTACAGCTAGAACTTAATGACTTATTTGTTTTCAAGTCTTTAAAAAGAAACTGAAACCTTAGTTTCTTAATGGTTTAGGAAATGTTTTATTAGTATTATAACATCAAACTTAGTTGTAAATAATTGAACTGCATGTTTTAACATTTCATTCTGTGTTGTCAGATTATTATTATTATTGTGTACAATCGTACAGTATTTAATAACTGAAAATATACATTAATTAACTGTATTTGATTAAGGTAGAAAAGTTCACGTATTAACGCTATAAAGATGATTACAAAAGTCGTAAGATTTAAATTATATTTATAGGTTTAATTTTCTATCAAACTTAATCACAGTACCATTAGGTGGCGCGTTTCTACTCACGCTACAGAGCCATCAACATTTGATACTATACCGTGAGCATTATTGACCCTAAATTATCTATTTTTTTATAGAAACAGTTTACTGCCTGCTAGTGTAGAGTATATGTACTGCGCTCAATCTTACATGTTTTTTTTTTTTGCTGTAAAAAGTTATATTTTAGGATGATTCCTAATCATTCCTGTTACCTAATGCAATATAACTGAATAAAAAACAGTTGTTCAAAGTAAAGTCACTAAGCAGCTTGAAAGTAGATCCTACCTACAATATTAGCACTTGTGAAATAGGTTACAGCTACTGCTTTAAAGAAAAAAACCTCAACATTTTAAAGTTATCACAAGCTTGAGACAGAAAATCGTAATTTGGTAAAATGTTATAAATTATTTTTGTTGATTGTTTGTTGTTAAGCGCAAAGCTACGCAATGGGCTATCTGTGCTGTGCCCACCACGGGTATCTAAATCCAGTTTTTAGCGTTATAAGCTTTAAGACTTACCGCTAAGCTACTGGGGTAGGCTTTTTTATTGTTGCAATTTCGTGTTTATTAGAAATATTCAAGTTTATTTATCAGTTTTATATTTAAAACATAATTTGAAATTGTATCTAGCACCGCCCTCTAAGCAATTTTATCGAAGAGAGTTCTAGAAAGATAATATTCGCATTTTATCTAGAAAAAAAACGAAGAAAGTTTGTTTGGTTGGTGTTAAGTACAAAGCAACACAATGGGCTATCTAGGTTGTGCTCACCACAGGTATCGAAACCCTGTTTTTAACGTTATAAGCCTTCAGACTTACCGCTAAGCCACTGGGGGCAGGAGAAGAGACATGAAAGATAATAATTTGACGTTCGACATCTGGTGGTGCTGTGTCACAGTTTGACTGTTTCTCTATCTTGGTCACGAACATGTAGATGTTAAATAAATGGATTTAACTTGATTATTGCAAAATTCGTTTTAGAATTTCAACATTAAAGTTTGTACAGAAATTAATTATGAGAAGAACTTTTTTTTTTACTTTTTAAGGTGTGCAATAAATGTGATAAAAAATGCTCTTTAATTTCTAAAATAAAGTTCGCTCACTGAACAAAGTATTGTATTTTTGACTGATGATTTAAGCCTTGTATCCATAACGAAACAAAGATGAAACTCAGCGCCACCATCTTACATAGATAACAGAATGTAATGAAAAAGGCCTCAACAAAGATGGCTAAAGTGGGAAAAGTAGCGACGTTCTGAAAGTCTTCTATGTCAAACTGAAGACTTCCGAAACTTCGTAACTTTTTTTTTGCCATCTTTGTAAGGCAGTGGGCGCCCATTTTCAATTTTATTTCAAAATTAATATAATTATGAAGAACGAAGCTCAACAAACGTTCCAATCAACTGGATCAACCAACAAATAAAATTATAACGAAATTATCGAGTTTCTCGTATATTTTGGGATAATTAGTGGGAAAATATTGAGAACTGGTGACATCCACAGCATTATAGTTATATCTATAATCATTTTGTGTTATTGTTTGTGTGAGTTAAACATTATTCATGATTCATATTTCAGCACCAAAGTCAAGTTATGTTAATCTTGAATCGTTAAGCCTGGATCTCATTATTTCTGTATAGGTATTTGTTGAAGTGTTAAAAATACTGCATAGTGTAGAGTTTTTATGTGCCACCATAGCTGGTAGCTGCATCAAAGATTATATGTTCACTGTTGAAACTGTAGTTGGCACAAGGGTGATTATATATGTATATATATATATATATGTCTAAAAAAGTTATCGAATCTAGTCTATGGTGATTACACGTCCAGCCCATACGATATAAAAACTGAGAAAGCAGACAGTGTATAGTAAGTGATTTATAACGATTTTATATTCTATAGAGATAATAAAAACTTGTGTAGAGACGACTGCTGTAAATAGATATAATTTTAAACTGTTGTTGACTTGTAAATTCATGCTGGAGAAAACAAATGAATAAAACCAGCATATTTCAACTCACGTCTTTTTCATTTGTTTTCAAAACTTAAATTAGAAATTAAACACAAAATAAAATGGCCAGGTGGTTAAGGCACTCGACTCCCAATCTGAGGGTCGCGGGTTCGAATCCCCGTCACATCGAACATGCTCGTCCTTTCAGCCGTGGGGGCGTTATAATGTTACGGTCAATCGTTGGTAAAAGAGTAGCCCAAGAGTTGGCGGTGGGTGGTGATGACTAGCTGATTTCCCTCTAGTCTTACACTGCTAAATTAGGGACGGCTAGCGCAGATAGCCCTCGTGTAGCTTTACGCGAAATTCAAAAAACAAACAAATAAAATGCAATAAACACTACCAGACTTGATATCCAAATAACAGCAATTTTTACAGAAGACAAATTTTTATTTTAATAATTATTTGTACAAAGTAACCGCAAAAGCTAATACAATAACTGGTTATTCTCTATCCTCAAAATAATCCTACTTGTTGTATCCTTGCCTGTCTTCCAACTCACTCTCTCTTACCTGACAACGCTTCGTGAGATGTCTTATTCATATTATACGTTCTATTATACTAGAAAATCTTGAGGTCACATCCTTCGAGCTTTCTAGGCGTTCTATGCCCTATGGCTAACAAATTACAGTATTAAGAATATAGCTTACAACAATAATAAAATTCGTTTATAGTAATAATACTGATAGTACGTGGAGATTTTCAAAGTGTTTAGTATGTTCGCAGCAAAAACACGACAGTAAAATACAACAATATAATTATCATATTCACTCTCAGTTCTGCTGGGTGATCATATCAGTTCGAGTGTTTTTGGTTCTTCTTAATTTCAAATATTTAATCCACGTTATTGTGATGAAAAAGAAGATAATTGTCAGATTCATGGGCGCCTAACTTTGTAAAAGAAAAAGTTTGGAGACAAGAGTAAAGAAAAACTGTGTCTGGCGAAGTGAGGCGAGAAAATATTTTGCCAAAAAAAAACACAACAACAACTGAATGTGGATTGGAAAATACCACTTCTGCCTCCCTGTTTAATTGTCTATGGTCAGATGTTTATATGCGGGTTTAAATGAAATATATATATAAAATAAAATCAATGACACAGCAAACACATACGTACACGCAGTAAATTCAGCCTTTTTTTTTATAAATACACTTATGGGTTCTTGTGTAACCCCCACACCATAAAATAGAAGCGTCCATCGGAAACTGTTTTAGCTTCGAGTTAAGTTGAGAAACAGGTTTTATACCTAAAGGTTAGGGGAAAAAGTCGTGAATAGGTAATTTTGTTGCTGCTTTTGTAAAGGCTAGTATAAGAACTTAGCGTATGCTCTTCATTGGTGACGCCTGTATTTTCAAAAACTGTCTGGTTTCTGGATTTCTCACTTGAAAGAAGCGCCATCTAAGTTATTAATTTAAATATTGGAAAGAACTATGTTATTTAAATTCACAAAAGGTTTTATCGGCTGTACACAATAAAACTTTTGGTTATTTTGTTCACAATGTGTCACCAGGTGAGATACAAAAACTGAGCCTAAGTTATTGATTGTTTTATTTCTTTTACGCTAAAGTTTAATATTTAGTCGATATTTTACCTATTTAGCTTTCTTTCAATACAAACACTAGGAACTGTAGAAACGGTGGTACGATACCTACTGATTGAATAATGTTGGGCAAGCTATGTATAAAATAATGAAGCAAGTCATACCAATTGGACACTGTTGGGTAAATGTTTTCATAACATAGCTCAAAAAGTCGAAACAATTGGATACTGTTGGGTAACTTTTGTAATGACATATCTCAGAAAGTTGTAACAACTGGATACTGTTGGGTAAGTTTTGTAATGTCATATCTCAGAAAGTTGTAACAACTGGATACTGTTGGGTAACTTTTGTAATGACATATCTCAGAAAGTTGTAACAACTGGATACTGTTGGGTAAGTTTTGTAATGACATATCTCAGAAAGTTGTAACAACTGGATACTGTTGGGTAAGTTTTGTATGACATATCTCAGAAAGTTGTAACAACTGGATACTGTTGGGTAACTTTTGTAATGACATATCTCAGAAAGTTGTAACAATTGGATACTGTTGGGTAAGTTTTCTATGGCATAGCTCAGAACGTTGTAACAATTAGATAGTGTTGGGCAAGTATTTGTATGAACTAGTTCAACAAGCCATAGCAATACATAGCTCAGAAAGTCATAGCAATTAGGTACTGTTGGGTAAGTGTTTGTATGACATATCTCAGTTAGTCAGGAATAAGTGAGAATACTGTCTTATATATGTATTCGTACCACCAAATTAAATTGGTGATATTCAGCATTATAGCGTACAATAACACCCACCCACCCCCAAGTTTCTTGTAGTAATTAGGAGAGATACATTTTTCAATTCATTAGTACAATTTATGAAGGAAAAAGGAAGACACTGGAACCAATGGAGTCGCAGTCAGAAATTATATACATTTTAAACACGAACTGCACTAGCCCGTCCTAGGATACTTAGAAAGATCCAAAAAGTTATATGGATTACTGATATAACAGCATAAAATCCCTTAGAAGAGATTCTTAATCAGAATCCCCCGGTAGAACAGTGGTAAGTTTACAGTCTCACAACGCTAAAATCCCGACTTCGGTTTCCCACGGTTGACACAACAGATAGCTTAACTCAACCAAAAACTTCTTGAGGTAGCTTTCAATCTGTTCAAAATAATTCTTAGATGATTACAATGAGGCAATAAATCTTGTTTCAAAGAATTAGTTTCTATTAAAGTATGCCAGTACTAACAGCGTCCAACCGTAACGTAGATCCCCCCCTCCCCACCAATAACAGAAAAATAAATAAAAGAAATGATTGTCATGTAGTTTAAGTATTTTCTTTTCGGAATCAGATAAGCATTTATTTTAGCTGCTTACGTCATCAAGGGTGAATTGTTACTAAATTTTTATTGGCTATCGAATTGAGATAAACTATTCTGTTGAGCTGTTGAATCATTATTACCTGCAAATAACGTTATTAATTTTTACAACGCCTCAAAAGAACAAAAACACAATTACATTAATTTCAGTAATCTACTTAAAAAAGCCCCCCCCCCCACGTGGCACAGCGGTATGTCTGCGGGCTTACAACACTAGAAATCGGGTTTCGATACCTGTAGTGGGCAGAGCGCAGATAGCCTATCGTATAGCTTTGTACATAAATTCAAAAACAAACAATACTCCAAAAAACGTAAAGTTCTACACACCCCCCTCCCAAATGACCCAGTTTCGAGCCTCTGGAATTTATAACGCTAAAAATCAGGTTTCGATACCCGTAGTTTGATTGACATAGTACAAATAGCTAATTGTGTAGCTTTGTGAATAAATTCAAAAACAAACAATACTAAAAAAAACGCATAGTTCTACACCTCCCTCCCAAATGACTCAGTTTCGAGCCTCTGGAATTATAGCGATAAAAATCAGGTTTCGATACCCGTAGTTTGGTTGACATAGCACGAATAGCTCATTGTGTAGCTTTGTGATTAACAACGAGCAAACAAATTTCATCATAAAAATATTGAAAAAATCTATTAATTGCGCTATTATTCTGCTCAAGTAAGGCATTTTGTGTTGTCTTCTCTACAGGGTTATAATAAACTCTTTGAAATTAATCTGTTGGTGTATTTAATGTCCTCGAACATGCTCATCCTCTCAGCTGTGCGGGCATTATAACGTGGCTGTCAATCCCACAGTTTATCTAAGAAAGAAAATATGGTACTTTTTTCCAAGTATATACAATATTATGACAGGAGACAGACGTTTGAGAATGGTGACCGATGAAACATAGGGCATTTTTAAAGTATTTCAGCTGAATCGTCTTAATTTATTAGCCAGACGTAACCTAGTGATCAGTATGTATCTGCGGATCGAAAGATCCAAGGTTCGAATCACAATAAGCCAATCAAAACGCTCCGCACTTTCAGTTTGTTTGTAATTAAGCACAAAGCTACACAATGGGCTTATCTGTGCTCTGCCCACCACAAGTATCGAAACCCGGATTCTAGCGTTGTAAGTCCGCAGATATACCGCTGTGCCACTGGGGGGGGGGGGACTTCCAGTTTATAGGAACGTTATGACTAAACAATCAATCCCCTTGTTTGGTGAATTAAATAGACGGCAGGCACTACTGGCTGGTAAGCAGTTTGGAATTAGGAATGGCTTTGTGTGACACTTGAAAGTTTTCTGTCAACTGACAGTTTTGTCCATGTGTTACATAAAGTGCCGTTCAGGTTGAAAATACCAATATATGTTGTTTTTATATCAGCTGCTAATTTCTGCTCAACAAGTATTATATCTGATACCTGTTTTTTTTCAAACTTCTTTGTATTGTTCATTCATATACTGTATATTTTTTTACAGTACATTTTCATACATCTTTGGTTATTTGGAACCGTTTCCTATTTTGTGTTCAATATAAACCAACAAACATATAGGATATAATAAGGTCGTTATCACAATGTTTAAAAATAAGGTGCATAACTACGCGGTATTTGACTTGCCCTCTCCTGTCTTTGAACGAATTAAGTCACCATCACAGGGAGTTTTCATCAATTATAAGTTTCACGAATTGTTCAAATCGAAGCAGCAAGACGCCCGGTGGCTCAGCGGTAAGTCTGAGGGGTTATAATGCTAAAAATCAGGTTTTAATACCCGCAATGGTCAGAATACAGATATCCCATTGTGCAGCTTTGCGTTTAACAACAGACAAGGAATAAGTCAAATAGAGTAATTATTTCAATTTAAATAATAAGATTTTAAATAAACATCTCATAATTGACGTTACTTTATCCATAAGTTTTCTGTAAAATCCATCATGGCTCTCCCTCTTCGTAGTTTTGTCTTGGATTAGCCATTATAGATTGTCTGTATTGAATAAGTATGGTTCTGCCTCTTCGTAGTTTTGTCTTGGATTAGCCATTATAGATTGTCTGTATTGAATAAGTATGGTTCTGCCTCTTCGTAGTTTTGTTTTGGATTAGCCATTATAGCTTGTCTGTATTGAATAAGTATGGTTCTGCCTCTTCGTAGTTTTGTTTTGGATTAGCCATTATAGCTTGTCTGTGTGGAACCAGTAATATCATTAGTTTCAAAGTATTATCAAATAAAAAGCATATCACCCGTTTGGCGCGTCTACCTAATACCCTCTGTTATTCCATATATTTATTGAATAAATAAGGCTGCTTAAAGCAATGTAACCCTAGCGGTGCTAGCCGACCCTAATTTTGAAGCGATAGCTAATCAACGCCATTAACTCTTGTAAGACCGAATAGTGGGATTTGACCATCACCACTAATAAAGTATATACGATGCCAAAATGTGAAGCTCATTTGTTTTTTTATTTGGCGGTAAGGGGACTCGAGTCAAGGATTTTCAGTCCGGCACGCTCGTCTCTATTTGTTGGAGATGGTCTTATTTCTTTCTAAATTTTACACAGACCACTTTAAATCATCAAAATCACTGTTCAAGTTGGTTTTACTTTTCTTTCCGTTTGTGGTATTAAGCCTTTAAATTTTACCTTTCTTTAAAATGTTATGAAAGAGGATGTATTTACAGGAATATTGCCGTATTCCGAAATTCACTTTTATTGGATTATTAAACTTTCTCCAGCAACAATTTATTTTCGTTTTAGATATTAGATTTCACATTTTTATTACTTTTTAAAGTAATGTAACAAAACCTACAACTTCATCATCAGATTGTGTTGATAGTGATCAGAAAACTTTACTACACAAGATCAAATAAACAGAACCCACAAGATGCTTGCATTCCTTTTCAAACCCTTCTTCGTTTGAGAGATAATGAAATTATGCTTTCATAACTGTATTTAAACGGATATTCCAGTTCGATGCACCAGATTTTTTTTTCTTCATTATAAGGAATAAAGCATATAAATGGCTTCCGTGAAAACATTCGAGCAGATCTGATTCACATCTCATTATTAAATCACAACCAGATGACTTTTTCCCCCATCTTTTGATAAATTGCCCCATTAAAAACACTCTGTGATTAAAATATCAAAAACGGTCTCACAACTTGAGGGTGATCAGTTCAATTTCGATTTGCAATTCTTAACGTATTAAAAATAAACATCACTTACAATACTTGTTACTCACTACAGCAATTTCGTATATCGTTATTGTAATAAGATAAAATACGACTACAGCATTTTTCTGAGCGATTTTTTTTCCTTTTTGCAAAAATAAATAAAAAATTGTTTTAGGGCATAAGTTAGATAAAATAGACTTGCAAAATTGAAGATCTAAGAAAGCTAATAACAATTTTCCTATCATGAAATAAATTCGTGGTGTATTCATAGAATACTTATTGGTAAAGATCAGATTAAGAACTTCTAATATATAAAAAAAAAACGAGTCCCAACAATGGCTTTTATGTTATGTTGCTTAGCAACAAAAGTATAACCTGATATTGTTGAAAGTCTATGTACGGAAAGTATAAAATGAAATATATAGACAACAAAACTGGAAAAATATTTGTTGATTTCTTAATTTAGAATCTCCGTTGATTAAAGAAGCTTGTTTTGTTTTTATTAAAAACGTTGGTGATATAACAGAAAATAACATAATTCTGAAACGATTTAAGTTTAAAATTGAATCGATTTTTTTTTACTTTAATGATAACTTTTATGCACTTGGCTCTAGGCCAGGTGATCCAAACACTCACTACACTTATAAGGTTTCAAGGCATCCCCTCCCTCACGGTCCCCTAGCACCCCCGTCACTAAAATCGTTATGGGCAGACAGTAATCGAACTCCTCTATCTGGATAAATGTATTTTTGGCTTTTATGACTCTTCCTATTTCGAGAAATCAAGTGTGACGTAACGTGACACACACACTGTCTTTTACATATTGTTGCGTCAGCGAGTCACATGACTACTGTGGCGCCCTCTAGTTTCCAGAACTATCTTGTTCTTTCATGCATGCTCTA